GCATGTTCTAATTTCTAATCCTTCTGCCGATCTAGCCTTAAAATTTTCTTTTGCATATGGAGGATTATTTTTAGCAAGATAGTCTTAGTCACATCTAAGCGAAAAAGACCTGTTAGATTCCAAACCTCATTCTAATTTGATTTCGTTTTGGATTATTGGTTATGTGAATTATAATTTTTACTTGGAGATATGTTTGTGAACTTGTGCTAATGGTTCTGTTATGCTGATGCTGTAGTTTATCGCCCTGTGGTATTGATACGGTATAAGATGGAACACAATGGGAAACATCTACAAATCTATCTGATTTATGTGAGATCTCAAAAGCTTATCAGTTATGGGTATGTTTATGCCTTTTCAATGTTAACATCTATGGTTGTTCCAATGCTATTTAGTTTATTGTGCTAGTATAGTCATCTAGCTATAGATTTGTTACCTTGAGCTATCTAAACCTAGTCAATTTTGAATGATTTGAGCTTTTCTCTAAAATGGTTATTAGAATTTTTAGAGTTTATTTAAATGTTCCTCTAAACTGAGAGTTTATTTGTGCAAGGAGTTCAATATGAAGATTCTACATCAAAGAAGACTGGGAGAAAAAGGTTTTTTCCTTCTCTACTATTTAATGTATCATCTCTTCTACTCTTTAACATTGGAATAAAGAGAATACAAAATAGAAGAAAAATAAAACTCTACCTTTTGAATTTAGATGGATAACCTTCTTCCAACTTTTTTTGATAACTTACCTAGTAGTTCTTATACGGAACTGTCTAGTGTAAAATAATAACTAGTAACTTAACAGGCACTCCATGTTGCAATGAATTCTAGCCCAAATAGCTTGAAGAAGAAATTGGTGGTGCTGTTGAATAAGTCTTCCATTATCTATTTTTATTGTCCTATTCTTTAGGAATTTGTTGGGTACGTGCAGTTGAGTTTCTTATTTTTAGCAGTGCATATCTTATTTGCAGTTTAGTGGCTTTAGTGGCTTAGTGGTGCTATTTTATTTTCCTCTTCCAAATTGGCTTGAGTTTACTATCTTTCAACTTCTTTCACTTGCTAAAATTGTTTATGCCCAGCAGGTGTTTGATTTAATTCCTCAAAGAACATTCAGCTTAAAGTTTTTGTTCAACTCTATTTTTCTCTACATTTGGTATCAGAGCTTGGTACATTGAGGGGACCAAACACAGCAGCTAATGGCGTCTGAAACCTTTGCGCAGCCAGCAATTCCTCGTTTTGATGGTCACTATGATCATTGGAGCATGCTGATGGAGAATTTCTTGAGGTCCAAAGAGTATTGGGATGTGGTTGAGTCTAGAATAGCAGAACCAACTGCTAGGATGTCAAAAGCTCAGAAGGCAGAGTTGGAGGCTTTAAAATTGAAGGATCTCAAAGCCAAAATTTATCTCTTTCAAGCAATTGATCGGACAATCTTGGAGACTATTCTTTGCAAAGATACCTCCAAGCAAATTTGGGATTCAATGAAGAAAAAGTACCAGGGAACCACAAAAACAAAGAGGCAGCAACTTCAAGCACTTCGTTCGGAGTTTGAAATACTTCGAATGAAAGAGGGCGAGACTGTTACTGACTATTTCTCTAGGACAATGGCAATTGTCAACAAATTGAGGACCCATGGTGATAAGACACAAGATGTTACTGTTGTTGAGAAGATACTGCGTTCAATGACACCAAAATATAATTTTGTTGTCTATGCTATTGAGGAGGCAAATGATCTTGATGAAATGTCACTTAAAGAACTTGAAAGTTCCTTGCTGGTACATGAAAGGAAGCTGAATCGACAAGAGCAGAATGAGCAAGCTTTGAAGGCCACAATTGGCACCTCTTCTTCATTTTCAAATAGATCAAACAGAGGAAGAGGCAGAGGTAGAGGAAGAAATCAGCAAACTCAGTTTTTTGAAGGAAGAGGAAGGGGGCGTGGCAGATTTAAGATTTCCTACAGACCAAAGTCAGCAGACAAGTCCAAAGTTGAGTGCTTTCGATGCCACAAGTATGGGCATTACCAATCTGAATGTCGAGCTAATTTGCCTAACAATGAAGGAGAAAAATCAAATTTTGCACAAATTGAGGAGGAAATATCCTTGCTGATGGTATGTCATGATGGAGAAAGGTCTAATAAGAACCTGTGGTATTTAGACACTGGTTGCAGCAATCATATGTGCGGAGACAAGGCAGCTTTCTCCATCTTGGATGAATCTTTCAGAGATAATGTGAAGTTTGGAGACAATTCTAAAGTCTCGGTCAGGGGAAGAGGACAGGTGACCATTCAAATCAGGGGTAATGCTGCTCAAACAATTTCTAATGTCCTTTATGTTCAAGAATTGAAGACCAATCTGCTAAGTATTGGTCAATTGCAAGAGAAGGGTTATGAGATTATCATCAAGAATCGAGTGTGCCAAATTCAAGATTCCAAATTGGGCTTAATTGCTCAAGTTAAAATGACTACTAATAGAATGTTTCCTCTTCATCTCAACTGTGCTAGTCAGTCATGCTTCTCGGCAAAGACAAATGATGTGGCTTGGCTGTGGCATTCTCGCTATGGTCATCTAAACTTTGGTGGGCTCAAGCAACTTCAACAAAAGAACATGGTGACTGGTCTACCTGTTTTTGAAAGTCCCTCAACTGTTTGTGAAGAATGTGTTGTTAGCAAGCAACACCGTGTTCCATTTCCAAAGGGGAGATCAACTAGAGCAAGAAGGCTATTGGAGATTGTATACTCTGATATTTGTGGACCAATTAATCCAGTTTCCAATGGAGGTAAACATTATTTCATTACTTTCATTGATGATTTTAGTAGAAAAACATGGGTGTACTTCTTACAACAAAAGTCTGAAGCTTTAATGGCTTTTAAAAGTTTTAAAGTATTTGTTGAGAAGGAAGCAGGGAGCCAAATTCAGGTGCTGCGTACTGATTATGGAGGAGAATATAACTCACATGAATTTGCAAATTTTTGTGACACATGGAATCAAGAGGCAACTGACAGCAACCTACACACCTCAACAGAATGGTGTTTGTGAGAGGAAGAATCGCACTATTTTAAATATGGTGTGGAGCCTTTTGAAGAAAAGCAGCATTCCCAAAAATTTTTGGCCCGAAACAGTCAACTGGAGCATTCATATTCTGAACAGAAGTCCAACTTTTGCTGTTCAAAATATGACACCTAAGGACGCGTGGAATGGAAGAAAACCAGGTGTGGATCATTTTAAAATTTTTGGCTGTATTGCTTATGCTCACATTCCAGATGA